CTACAATAAATCAAAAATTAGCTGGGCGTGGTAGCACGCACCTGTAGTTCCAGCTACTTGGAAGGCTGGGGCGGCAGGATCACCGGAGCCCAGCAGGTCGAGTCTGCAGTGACCAGGAGTGGGCCACTGCACTCCAGTCTGGGTGACAGAGTGAGATTCCAACTCAAAAAACCCAAAAGAAACAAAAATCTACTTTTAGTTGTGAAGAGAAGGCTGGGTGCGGTGGCTCACACCTATAATACCAACACTTTGGGAGGCTAGATGAGAGGATTACCTGAGCCCATGGGTTTGGGACCAGCCTGGGCAACTTGGAAAGACCTCATCTCTACAACAAATCAAAAAATTAGCCAGGCATGGTGGTGCGTGCCTATGGTTCCAGCTACTTGGAAGGCTGAAGCGGAAGGATGGCCTGAGCCCAGCAGGTCGAGGCTGTGGTGGCTGGGAGTACGCCACTGCCCTCCAGCCTGGGTGACAGCATGAGACTCCAATCCAAAAAAAAAAAATAGTGAATAGAAAAAAAATTACAAATTTTTAAGGTAGGTCTCCAAAGCCATCAAGTCTTTATAAGTAAAATGGTAATTATTTTATATGACCTGTATATTTCCCATATTTTGTTTTCTTTGTTTTGGCCAGCTAGATAGATGATCAGCTGAACATTCTCTTAAGGGAATTCCAGCTGACAGAGGAGAACACTAAGCTCCGATATCTTACTTGTTCTCTTGTTGAAGACATAGCAGCTGCATGTTTTCCAGACTGTACAGTCAGACCCTTTGGCTCCTCAGTGAACACGTTCGGGAAATTAGGATGTGATTTGGACATGTTTTTGGATCTAGATGAAATTGGAAAACTCAGCACTCACAAGGTAATTATATTTCTTTAAAGCACTGTAGTAATTTAAAATTAAGAAATTAGGCTGGAAGCAGTGGCTCACACCTGTAATTCCCTTGCTTTGGGAGGTCAAGGGAGGAATATCACTTGAGGCCAGGAGTTGGAGAACAGCCTGGAAAACATAGTGAGACCCCATCTCTACAAAAAATAAATTAGTTGGCCATAAGTGACATGCGACTGAAGTCCCAGCTACTTGGGAGGCTAAGGCGGAAGGATCACATGAGCCCAGGATAGCAGCTGCATATTTTCCAGACTGTAGCCCAGGAGTTTGAGGCTGCAGTGAGCTATGATTGTGCCATTGCACTCCATCCTGGGCAACAGTGAGACCTTGTGTCTAAAAAAGTAAAGTTAAGAAATTAGAAAAGGGAAATCTTTGGACTTAACAAAATTATAATTGTTGGTTTTTCATTTAGATAAACATTCTGATTAAAGAAAAAAGCACATTTAACATTGATTATTTTGGAATTTCAGAGCCCAATATGTGATCATTTTGTGTGAGCATTCAATCCATATGTGATAAAATAGTTAAAAAAATTTTTTCAAGAGTTCAAAAGTTTTTTGGCTAGGTCAAAGACGTTTACTGTGTTATTTGAATTATCTGTACCTTAACTAATCTTTTTTAATGTGTGATCTAGTTACTGAAATATATATAAATCTCATAATTTTTGGTATTTTTAATTTCTCCTTAAGATCTTTTGATTTTTTTAGTTTTGAAATCTTTGAGATTAAAAAAAATTCTTTTTATTTTTGTTTTATCCAAAGGTTATTTTAGGTACATATAGGAATATACATATATGATTATTATATCTTCTTATTAAATTGCTTCATTTATCATTAAATTATGTCCCTCTTCACTTTATAAATGCTTTTTCCTTCAATTCCATTTGGCCACTTGATATTTGTCTCCCTTGTCTTCTATTTTTTTATTCTAAGCTTTTGTTTTTGTTGTTTTATTTGGAGCATATCTCCTATAAGCAGCAGCACACTTTTACTTTAGTCTGTGAGTCTCTGAGTTCAGTATACTTATTGTTATTACTGATAATTCTTAGACTCTTTTCTATGATCAAATTTTTATTTCCCATTTTCTGTACTTTGTCTTTGCTTTTTCCCCCTTTTTTTCCTTTTTTTAATTGGATTAATTTTACTTTATTACAGCTCTTCTCACTCCCCCCTTTTTTTCCTCTTACAGTTTGTATGCTATTTATTTTATTTATGTTCTTTTCAATACACTTGTCTAACAGAGTAAAGTTAACCAATGTATGTCATCCTCCCAGACAATATAAGAGATGCTTTAATTTACTACTTTGAAAAGGCTCTGTGTTTTTATAAAATGTTAGGTGTTTTGGGCTCTGTCTTATATGTTTCAAACTAGTAACAAATATCCATCTTTATGTGGTTATATATCCATTTGACACTGCAGACTCAACATTTTGAAAACAAAACTTATTTTGATCTCCCTGCAGATGTCCTAAGTTCTTATAAAAGTTCTTATATGTGTTTCACATGTTCATTAGTGGCATTTTAGCTTTGCTAACATTTGCCACTTTTTAAATTCTGCTTCTAGTTATCTTTTGTATCTATGTCACAGTCTCTTGGGTTATGGTGACTACATCCTGTTTCTATTTCTTATTTCTTGTGCCATGCCTTGGTATTCAGCTTTTGGTCAGCTAGAGTTATCTTCAATCACAGTTTGGATTTTCTCACAAACTTAGTATGGTTCTTTTGCTAGCTTAGTATTGAAATGATCTGTCCTCGTTAATTTTAGTCATCATTTCTCATTGTGTATTTTCACACACTGAGTTTTCCGACCACATTATTTGATTACCATTTCCAGGATTATTAGGCACTTTTAGAATATTACAATGATCAAGCAATTTTTCTGTCTCTTCAGTCAGGAGTGTACTTTTCCTGTTCCCTTGCTGTCGTTGTTACACAGCTTTCAGGGCCGAGTTATGACTTCACCTTCATGAAGCCATCCTTGATTTTTTTTTTCTTCACTCTAGTCAAAATTAATCACTCCTTTTTAGTAGTTTCTTACTGGTTTTTCTATCTGTCTCCCAATTCTTTCTGTGTCATTTGTAGCTAGTGGTTGATCTGTATATTTCTCACTGTCTCAAGCTTAGGGCAGGGCAGGATTCATGTCTGTTCATTTACTTATCCTGCAGTGCTAGCACTGTGCCCGGCATACTTCAGATGCTCAGTATGCATTTAGCTGAATTGAAACTATCCAGGAAGAGGAGGCACACCAAAATTAAATGGGTCCGTTTTATTAAAACTAACATGTACTTGAAATTTTATTAAATTCCTCTTAGGGGCACTTAAATTGTGATAACTTCTTTTCTCCTTTTTTCGAGTCAGGGTCTCACTCTGTCATCCAGGCTGGAATGCAGTGGTGTGATCACAGCTCACTGCAGCCTCTACCTCCTGGGTTCAGACAATCCTTCTACTCAGCCTTCTGAGTAGCAACTATAGGCACATGCCACCACACCTGGCTAATTTTTTTTTTTTTTTTGTAGAGATGTGATCTCAATATGTTGCCCGTGCTGATCTCAAACTCCTGGGTTCAAGCAGTCTTCCCACCTTGGCATCCCAAAGTGCTGGCATTACAGGCGTGAGCCACCACGTCTTGCCAGTTATTTTAAATAAAATACTTTAACTGAATAATCAAGGAGCATAACAATATGTTTAAAAACTCTGGGTTCTAGAGTCAAACTGAAAAATTGTAATTGTGCTTATTAGCTATGCGATCTGAGATAAGTTATATACCTTCTCTGTGCCTTAATTTACCTAATTATAAATAAAGTTGGAATACTGCTGTAGCATGTATTTCATATAATATATGTTAGTATATGTTATAAATGTGTATGAACTTGTCTTAAACTCTGAAAGTTTTTGGAAATAGGTACTTAAGCTTATAATAACTTTGCTAATAGAAACATTAGAAATAAAATACAGAGAAAAAATTTAAGCGCTCTTAAATCTATCAAATTCATAAGGCCCTCTTAGACTAGTTTGTGCAGTCATGAGCTCTTCTCTTACCCCTTAGTACGTTGGTATTTTTTGGCTTTGTGCCTTATTTTATAGTTCTTTGTGTATTTGTTTTATTCCTCAAATCATTTTGAGTTAGGAAGAGTGCGGTAGACTTTTTTGTGTTTTTACAGCATTATGTATGAGAATGTATGATATCCTATGCACAATAGGCACTAAACAGATTATTTACTAATTAATACATAAATGTGATTTACTAACTAAAATAGTACATTTTTGTAGTTAAATGTTTTAATGTGTAGAAGATGCTTACTTATGAAATGTGTTATCTTACCTATCACAAAGATCATTTTAGCATCAAATCTACCTTTGGTCATTCCTTCAGTTTTGCTTTTTCTAATAGGACTCTGTATCTTGGAGGATTTAGGTAATAGAAGGAAAAAATAGTGGCTCAGTTCTGTTTTCTGTTATCTAAATTATTTCTGTGGACAATGTATTTAACTTACAGTTTTTTCTTTATTAGATCTGCAATTAGTGCTATAGAAATAGCAAATATTTATAGGAAGTATTTACTGATTTAGCTGTCTCTGAAGAATTTTCTTTCTTTTTTTTAAAGTGAGAATTGAGCAGGGAGCTGAAGAATTTTTCTAAGTTTTATTTATTTGATAGAGGAGAGTCATTTTTGAGAGTATCTCACCTTTGCATATAATGTGTTTTTTATCATCTACAGCTTCCATAATTTCTGTGTTTTATTTTGGCACAGGGTCCACTTATCTAATTACTCATGTGGTTCTTGGTCTCTTGCTTTTTATGAGTTAGATTGGGCTAGGTTATGCTTGGTAACAAGCACTCCCCCAATCCTATACATCTCAGCTAGGGCTTTGTGTTCTTAGCAGGGGCACTCTAAAATTATATTCTCAAATCAAGCACCAGGCTGAGCAGCGTCTCATCTCCCCCTGTGCTTCTACCATAATTGAAATGATGGAAGAAAGCCAAAGTGGAGAATTGAACATTGGCTCTTTAAGCATCTGCCTGGAAGTGACTCTGCTTACATTTCATTAGCCAAAGCAAATCATATGACTGTGCTTAACTTTATAGGGCCAAGAACCATGTGGAATATTTGGTGGACAGCTTCAGTAATTGCCACATTCCTGCTCATAGGTCATGGTTCTCCAGTTTCCTACCTCTAATTCTGTTACTCAGACCTATTTTTTTCTCTAGTGTCATTTTTAGTTCTGTGTAAAACCTCAAGGATTTTATTCTTCTCAGATTTATAGTACTTAATTTAAAAAAAATTCATTATCACCTTTCTGCTGAGTGATTCTAACCCTTTCTTAGCTTCTGCAGTTGGGTCCAACATTACCACCATTCAGACCGATACTATACTCCTAGTTGACATTCTTTTGCCATCCTGAGATTATTTGACTCCAAATCTCTTTTTTTCCTGGTCCTGTTTAGTCTTGATAGATGTTTCTCTCTCTTTGCTTTTCTGTTAAGGAACTTCGTGCTTTATTTGTTGATTGCTCTTGTTTGGGTTCCTCCTTCTCGTATAAATTGTATATGTTTGTATTTTAAAATAGGATGGACTTGGGAAGTAGAAAGGTTATAAAGATAGGCCGGGCATGGTGGCTCAAGCCTGTAATCCCAGCACTTTGGGAAACTAAGGCAAGACCTTGTCTTTACAATAAATGAAAAAAATTAGCCAGGCATGGTAGCATGCCTCTGTAGTTCCGGCTACTTGGAAGGCTGAGACGGAAGGATTGCCTGAGCCCAGCAGGTTGACTCTGGGGTTGCACTCTAGCCTGGGTGACAGAGTGAGACTCTGACTCAAAAAAAAAAAAAAAGATCTGTTACAACAAAGTGGCTAAGGCACAGTCTTGAAATGTTTATTTTTTAAAGGAAATACATTTTTTAGATCCTTTAATATAAAAGTATCCTCATAAATAAAAGTCTGTCTAAATGACAATAAAAAAATAACATGTTTATTTATGGAGATTGCATATGTGTAATATGTTAATCTATTTTTTCTGATTATAAAGTAATAGAAATATGTAATGTCAGTATCTCTGATGGTCCCACTGTCAGTAACTACTCTGAATAGTTTAATGTATTTTGTTCTGAATTTTTCTTCGTATATATAAATTTTTTTAAACAAAACTTAAATCTTTATAGAGTATAACTTAATCTATACAAATTATAACTTGAGGTTTTTTTTCCTATGAATAATGTCTTGGCAGTTTAATCTAATGCATCCTTTCAATGGCTGCAGAATGTTCCATTGAATGAATACCAAAATTTAATTAACCAGGCCTCTATTTGTTAGACAATGAGAGTGTTATCTTTTCCCCCCTCTTTATTGACAACATAACAGAAATAATGCAAACTAGCTCAGCAAATTAAAGAAGTAAAAGAGGAATCATAGAACCCAGGGTCAGGAATGTGGATGAGTCTTAGGAAAGAGACTAGAACTAAGAAGTGTTTCTCTCTACATATTTTTGCTTCATTTATCTTTTTCTCTCTGCCCTTCACTTTTCCCTTTCTGCCCTCATTGATTTTCTTTACTTTTTCATGCTTGTGGTATACATATGCTTGCCTCAAAGCTTCTGAGTTACATATTTCAGCCCCATGGATGCCTCTGAACCTTAACTCCAGTTCCCAGTAGAGATCTTTGAAAGAATGCATGATACGCTCCTGCACTGCTTAGATCTGCTGTCTGTGCCCCTTCTGCTCAGCTGGAGGAAGGGGGTAGATTTCTATGATGAACATTGTTGTTGGAACCTTAATCCTTTCAGGAGGAATGAATTCTAAAGTGGGGGTAGTTGAGGGTAGGGAACCTTATTAAGCTAGGTAATGTTCCCAAAAGGTGTCTACCACATGAATAATGCTGCAGTGAGCGAATATCTTGTACACTGGCTACCTATGCAAGTATTTTTTTGAGGTAACTTTTTTTGTTGTTTTTTTTGAGTTGAGTCTCACTGTATCACCCAGGCTGTAGTGCAATGGCACATTCACAGCCACCCCAGCCTGTTGGGCGCTGGTGATCCTTCAGCCTCAGCCTTCCAAGTAGCCAGAACGACAGGTGCATGCTACCACACCCAGCTAATTTTTGATTTATTGTAGAGACAAGCTCTCGCCAAGTTGCCCGAGCTTGCTCAGGCAATCCACTCGCCTCGGTCTCCCAAAGTGCTGGGATTACAGGCTAAGCCACTGAGCCCAACCCCTGAGGTAGCATTTTAATAGTTAGTCAAAGTATTATGCGTTTAAAGTTTCAATAGATATCAATAAGTTCTATACAAAGTATGCCCCTGTTTACACTCTCATGACAACATATACATGTATGTACCTATGTCTCGACACCCACTGTGCTGTCAACCTGTTTGTCCTTGTGAAACTGAAAAATTGCATTGCTATTTTGATTTCAGTTTTAGTTTCTAGAAAACATAAGCATTTTTTGCTGTGTTTCCCAGCTGTTTTTATTTCTTCTGTTAATTTTTTACTCTTCTCTTTTTTTGCCCATTTTTTAGAATTGGATGAGTTCACCCTTTCATTTGTATAAATCCATCATAAATTAGCCCTTTGTGTTACATGTTATTTTGCTTTGTCTGTTATCTCATAGTGAATATATGAGGGGGGACCTGAAAACAACCAGATTTATTTATAAAAAATTGTACATTTATTCTTGCTTGTGTAAACTTCAGTAACCTTCAGAGTTCTGTTTGATGCACTACACCTATCAATGCTTTTTCCACTGCTCAAAAAAGGTTTTTTGTTTGTTTGTTTGTTTGTTTTTGAGTCACAGTCTCACTTTATCACCCAGGCTATAGTGCAGTGGCATGCTCATGGCCACCACAGCCTTGACCTGCTGGGCTCAGACAATCCTTCCACCTCACCCTTCCAAATAGCTGGAACCATAGGCACGCACCACCACACCTGGTTAATCTTTTAAAAATTTACTGTAGAGATGAGGTCTCACCAGGTTACCCTGGCTGGTCTCAAACCCCTGGGCTCAGTTAACCTCTTGCCTTGGCCTCTCAAAGTGCTATAATTACAGGCGTGAGCCATTACACCTGACTCAAAACAGTTTTTGAACTCATCAATTTTGATGCCTTTTAGTGCTTCTACTGTTTTTTGTTTCACCTCTTCCAAATGAGCAAAAATGTTTCCCTTTAAGAACTTTTTTCATCTGGGGAAACAAAAAACAATTGTTTGTTTGGGGTGTAATCAGATGAATAAGGAGAGTGGGACATGGAGGTGATACCATTTTTAATCAAAAACTGCTGTACACTCAGCGTGGTATGGGCAGGTGTGCTTGTAAATCACCCATCATGAAGTGGGCAAATGTGTTGAAAGAATCTCCCAAAAAAATTCACTGAAGCCGAACGCAGCTGGTACACTGATGCCGATGGGTTCCTAGAACACTTACCTAACGGGGGAAACCTGTACTGTAAGAGGCCCACCCTCTAAAAAAAATTCAGTTTTTTGAGGGATCGCCCTTTGTAGGTTTTGCCTTAATGTGGTTTTAATTTTTAATGTAATCATATTACCTCTTTTATGTCTTCTATATTGTATCTTGCCTAACGAATTCTTCACTACTCTAAGGTTGTAAAATTCTTCGCATGTTATCTTCTAGTACTTGACTGATGCACTTGTTACACTTAGCTCTTTGGTCCATGTTAAATGTATTTTAATTTTTAGACTAAACTAAGGACCTAGTTTATTTTTTTAATGGTCACTTGACTGATTGTTGAATAGGAATTTTCCCCCAGTAATTCATAGTATTAACTATTAAATTCCTATACGTGTCTGTTTATACTGTCTATTATCCTTTGTTGATCTGCTGTCCTTTTGTGCCTGCACTTCCTTATTACTGTGGGTTTATAGCATCCATTAAAATATAATGACCAAGTAGGAGAGGTCAAGTGTATGTTCACAGAATTTATAGAGCTAGTGGTTCTGTATATCATATCACTTTATGATATATAATATACTGTGGCTCATAAGTTGATTATAAAAAGTCAGTGATTTTTCAAGTTAGTACTTTATATTCTGGAAAAACAAAAGGCACCTGAGGATCTTTTAAGACTGCTTTTGGGTATGACTTCATGAATAATTTTTTATTTTGCAGGTTTTAATTATTTTATTTTTGCCAGAAATGATTTAGAGCATCCTTTAAGAAAAGTATATTTAAGAAATTGCTTTTTACAGAAAACTCCTATTTATAGATGTTTTTATTATTCAGACCTTAGGAAATTTTCTGATGGAATTTCAAGTGAAAAACGTTCCTTCGGAAAGAGTTGCCACTCAGAAGATCCTGTCTGTGATAGGAGAATGCCTTGACCACCTTGGCCCTGGTTGTGTGGGTGTACAAAAAATACTAAATGCTCGGTGTCCACTTGTGAGGTTCTCACACCAGGCCTCTGGATTTCAGTGTGATTTGACTACTAACAATAGGTATGATATCTTTATTTTGTCATCTTAAATGTGATATTATAAGATATTAGCTTAGTTTTTCTTGTGCAGAAAGAGTGACTTTGTACTTTTCTAGACTTTTTTTTTTTGAGTTGGAGTCTCACTCCGACTCCCAGCCTGGAGTGCAGTGGCATGCTCACGGCCACTGCAGCCTCGACCTGCTGGCTTCAGGTGATCCTTCTGCCTCAGCCTTCCAAGTAGCTGGAACTACAGGTATGCGCCACCACACCCAGCTAATTTTCTCATTTATTGTAGAGATGAGGTCTCACCAAGTTGCCTAGACTGGTCTAGAACCCATGGGCTCAGGCAATCCTTTCACTTGGCCTCCCAAAGTGCTGGGATTATAAACATGAGCCACCATGCCCAGCCTTAGACATGTTTTAATTATAATTTTTACAAATTTGAACACTTGGAAAAGTAGGAACTTTGTTCTCTTACATAATACTGATTGATAATTTGGTGTTCCTAAGCAAAGTGTTAGTATATTGTGTTAGGATGTTAACATATCTAACATCTTCTAAAAAGAAATGAATTTCGTTGTTCTTACTTATAAAGCCTGATAGTGTGAAAAGTACCTGTTTATAGTATATCTAACTCTTCTAAGTATGCTCAGAAAAGAAAATAGTGACTTGGATTTGACCACCTGATTACCTCCAGGTCAACTTTGTACTGAACAAACGTGACCTTGCTTAGGTCAGAACATGGAGTTGTACAGCATGTTTGCATTGTATTGTCCTAGCAACCTGTGTGCTTTAAAAAAATGGTGTCGGAATGACAAGTTCTTTTATATTCTGGTTACTTTACCTGGGTTCACAATAGGATAAATTTCTCAATTGAGGAGTTTATTTCTTAACTGTAGTATTCTCATTGCATAAGTTTGATTTTACTGTATTATCTTTAGATAAATAATCATAAATGAAAATAAATTCAGAAAATCCAATCTAGAGCAGTTTGGATTAAATTTGAGTGTTCACCAATAAACCAGTCCTAAGTACTTCTAGATTTTTCTCAAGTAGTCCATTGAGTAAAAGGTTTTCACAGATTTTAATATAAAAATACATAGTGTGGTTTCTATCATAGTATTTTCTTTGTAGCATGTAAAATAGGACAAAATGACAATTATCTCTGTTACAGTGTTTTCTTTGTCTTCTTGGGACAAATTTTTAAGAATTTGTTTTAACATGTTTTCTTCTGGTTCTTACGCTCTTGCAGTGTTTCTTTTCCTATATGTACTTTTGCTTCATGTACATAAAACACTTAATCATCATGAATTTCTAATTTGCTATTTCTCCTTAAACTCAAGATATAAATGCCATGGTGATACTTTAGAGACAGTTTTGCAACTATTAAGTGATTTTGCGCCCTCTGTTGGTTCTTTGAGAAATTATAAGACATTTTAATTAGTAAGAACTTAATTTTAAAATACTTCTGATTAATAATGGTTTGAATTTGCATTTTAACATTGTAACTAGGAAATTTATTAGTAGGTTTTGAATTTTCATTTCTTAACAGGCTTTTTACCTTCATGGGTTTTGGTTTTTATAAATATTAGGGTTAATGATTTTGACTATTTTACACACTACAAGAATTTTGAAGCTAAATACTTGATTGATGAAATGAATGGAATGTTTATGCTAACTTGTTTACCCAAGGACTGGATAACCAAAGTGTGAAACTGAGTTGCAAAGACTCATTTACAAATGCGTCTGTAACTTTATTGATGGTTATAATGATCCCTTGTATGTTTTACTTATTTAAATTATGTTTAGGAACTTTGATTTTAAAATTCTAATTTTTAGGACTACATTGTGACTTTCAGTATTTAAAAGAGTGTTCTAATGAGAATGAATGTATTTGATACTCAGACATTCACATTAAATTTTATATTGCAAATACATAATACTTTTGGTGAACTGATCATGGTGTTCTGAATATATTCAAATTTAGTGAGATATTTAGATATATTTCTTAGTATATATTTTTTTAACCCTTGAATCATAACTTTGGGCTTTTAAAATTTTTTTTATTTTTATTTTTTAAAGGTTTGCCTTGAAAAGTTCTGAACTCCTTTATATATACGGTACCCTGGACTTCAGAGTAAGAGCCTTGGCATTTAGTATACGATGTTGGGCTCGAGCACATTCATTAACGAGTAGTATTCCTGGTGCATGGATTACAAATTTCGCCCTTACAACGATGGTCATCTTTTTTCTCCAGAGAAGATCACCCCCTATTCTTCCAACGCTAGATTTCCTAAAAACCCTAGCAGGTAAGACTGGAAACTGCCTTCTCTGTTTTCTCTTTCTGAATGAATGAATATAATTATTTGTTATGAATGAATGTAATTTCTTTTAAAGATGTGGGGTACAATTTAGGGTTAGATAAATGTAATTACTGTGTGTTTTCAAAGCCATGTATATTTATTTATTAGCCATATAATTTGTTTGAATTTTAAAGCCTTGTGACTCTAAAATTTGAGTGCCTTTTTTTTTTTTAAATGCCTACCGGGGATAATGAGAGCAGATTGTGAAGCTGGGTTCTTTTTTTTTTTTGAGTTGGAGTCTCACTCTGTCACCCAGACTGGAGTGCAGTGGCCGCTCCCGGCCACCACAGCCTTGACCTGCTGGGCTCCGGCGATCCTTCCGCCTCAGCCTTCCGAGTAGCCGGAATTACAGGCATGCACTACCACGCCCGGCTGATTTTTTGATTTATTGTAGAGATGAGGTCTCGCTGCCCAGGCGGGTCTCGAACCCGCGGGCTCAGGCAATCCACTCACTTCAGCCTCCAAAGGTGTGGGATTACAGGCTGAGCCACCGAGCCCGGCGAAGCTGGTTTCTTTAGAATTTTTTGAAAGTTTTGTCTTTGTGTCAGTTGACAAAGTTATTTATAACAGTCCTGAGATAGTCGGAGCCTCTCCCTCAGTTGACCCAGTCTAGAATGACTTTGAAAGAAGCATTTCCCAGATACAGAAATGGCTTTCCAAATCTGAACCTATTTTTAGATTTCTAGTAGAGATACTAAAACTGTTTCAGGATGTTTTAAAGTGTGTTTTTAGGTAAAAGTTTATAAACACTCTTGGATGCATTATTTAGTTTACTATTTTATGAATGAATTGAAATTTTGATACTCCACAGAAGATACTAAAATACTGCAGTTATAAATTCTAAGAGAAGATAATTAAGAGATGCATACACTGAAAATGTACATATACTCGGTTTCTATTTATCCTGTTTATTGCTGCCAGATAATTCTTCTAAGTGCATCCTTTTCATTCAGTCAGTAACTATTGATGGATTACTTATTACATGGGAGGTATTAGCTTTGGAGCAGTGGGATATGGACGATGTCTCAGATAACTCATGGTCTAGTAGAGCTCCTCCCCAGTAAGCCACCCATAAATAGCACTTCCTGGTAAACAGTACTTCCTGGTGCACTCCTGTGTATAAGATTGCTTAGGACTACCCTTAGAGAAACTTTTGTGGAGGAGAATTGTGCAACTTTTGGAGTTCAGGAGTTAAGACAGGTGGAAGCTGTATCTTTTTCAAAACTTTCCACTGATTATCTTAGAAAAAGAATATGATTTGTGGACAAATTAAAAATGACTTGAGTTTTTATTCCAAATCTATTTTAAATCAAATTTAAATATGTTTACATTTTATGGCATCAAAATAGATAAAACTGGTTTTGGACTTTTAAAACATCAAATTGATTCCTTTAAATTTTTTGTACTAGTTTTTAAATATGATTAAGATAAAATTTTAGACTTTTTTTTGCAGTTGCTTCTCTGCACACAGCACCTTGTAGATGTGAATTGACAATAAATGCAAGGCAACATTTAATACACTTTTTGCTTACATTTTTTATTGTTTTTTGAAGTTGCTATAAAAGAATTTTTCTTAAATGAATATATTAAGGATGTGATGAAGAGTATTTTGAGGAGCATTTATCAAAATATTTTTTCCTTTTTTCATTTGTATGTTTTTCAAAATCCATACTCAAACCTAAGCACTTTTCACAGCCTATATAGAGTTTGAGTTTTTATACTTCCTGATTTAACCAGTAGTCCAATACTGATAGACATTAAACAATATATAACTAAGAAAAAAACAATTTTAAACTGGGAAACAATCAAAACCATCTTGAGTACACTGAGTAATCTGCTGAGTGACTTAAATCTTGTGTACAATTTTTTTTTTCTAAGCTCTGCTTCTTATTTGATATACAAATAGAGTCTAGCAATGTGTTCTTTTTTAAAAGAAAATATTTTGTTTGCTTGTATTAATGGAGGGCAGCATGAATTCCTAGAACACCTTTTAGAGCTTCTGGGCCTTTGTAAACCACTTGGAGCTAAGGCTAAGTAAGATAAAGCTCCAACCTTTTAGTCTTGTGACTAGGGTCCCTTGTGCGCTTCCTTTCCACCCTCTTCTCTGACATTGATTCCTGTGTACCAGTCAGGGCTTTGAACCACTTTAAACTCCTTGCTGATCCTCAGATGTTTCATGCCTTTTCATGTCTCTGTGCCTTTGCCTGAAATGGCATTCTCCCTACCTCTTCCTTTTTCATGGAGAACCTCCTCAGGATTAAAGCAGCAAAGAAAGAGGACAGACCCAGTACAGGATCTTATCCATTGAGTCTTTCCTGCCATCCTCCCTGCCTCCCAGGAGACGGTGCTTCCTTCGTGCCTCACTTTGGTCTTGTTTTTCAAGGGCAGGCTGTCTTTGCTTCCTCTCTGCTTCTTTGTTTCTGGGCTTATGGTAGGAGTTCAGTAGACAGATTTCAAATGATTGAATTAATGTTTTCAAGTGAGGCTGTTTGTATGGAGCAAGGGATTCCGTGGTGGCAACTTTCATATTTTGGTTACTCTTGAATTGCTGTTGTCTTTATGCTTTCTTACAATTTCACTCCTTTTCCCATATGTCTCTTATTTTCTTGTGTTTTCTATGCCTTTTGGCTTTTCTGGCTTTGTTGTATTTACTTCTGTGCTTAATGCTTTTATATGTTATTTTCCTCTGATTAAGGTTCGAGGTTTTTTGGTTAGGACACCAGTACTTCTTCCCTGTGATGAAATAGGAGTTTGACAAAGAAATGACTGGAAAACATCTTTAACAATGTGAATGCCAAGGCGCTTGCGTAGAAGAGAGCAATTTGTAGCTCTATGTGACCCAGTACAATCTCCTGAGTGTGCTATCTCTGTGCCAGGGACTTGGCTAAGAACTGGAATGAATCATCTCATTCAATCCTCCTGTCAATTCTTATGAAACAGTTACTATTTTCATTTCATAGATGAGGAAACTAGGGCTTTGAAGAGTTATCTGAATTTCCCAAGATCATGTAATTAGAAGATGCCACAGCTAGGATTCAAACCCAAGCACCTTTCAAAGCCTATACATTTTTAAAAACTGAAATATAATATACATAGATGTGCATGTATTATATCGATTGTTATAAGTCTTATACACACACACACACACACGCACGCATTCTCCTCCATTCCCCCCCCCCCCCCAGGAATTCTTGCTGTACTCCCTTCCGGTAACTACTATGCCCCTTGTAACCCTTCCAACAGCACGGATTAACTTTACCTCTTTGTGTTTCTTATGTAAAAGGCCTCATATAGTATGTATTTTTTTGTGTCTGGCTTTTTCTTTCGCAATATTATGTTTGGGAGATCCATGCATATTTATAGTGTAGTTATGGACTATTCAGTCCCAGTGCTACGTAGTATTCTGATATATGGGTATGCCAAAAATTTTTAAATTTTATTTCTGATAAACATTGGAGTAATTTGTAGTTTGGGACTATTATGAGTAGTTGCTAATAGGAACATTCTAGCTCATGTCTTTTGGTAGACATGGGTTTCATATCTGTCAGATATATACTAGGAGTGGAAATTCTGCGTCTTAGTATTTGAGTATATTCAGCATTAGTAAACACCCTCAAATAGCTTCCAAAGTGCAAACTCCCATGAACATCATATAAAAGTTCTAATTGTTCTGTGTCTTTGCCAACACCTGATAATTGGCTTTTTTGTGTTGGCTGTTTTTTTTTGTTTTTTGAGTTGGAGTCTCACTCTGTTGCCCAGACTGGAGTGCAGTGGCCGCTCCCGGCCACTGCAGCCTCGACCTGCTGGGCTCCGGCCATCCTTCCACCTCAGCCTTCCGAGTAGCTGGAATTACAGGCATGCGCTACCACGCCCGGCTGATTTTTTGATTTATTGTAGAGATGAGGTCTTGCCAAGTTGCCCAGGCGGGTCTCAAACCTGCAGGCTCAGGCAATCCATTCGCCTCAGCCTCCCAAAGCACTGGGATTACAGGTTGAGCCACCGAGCCCGGCTGTGTTGGCTGTTTTGAATGTGTAGTGGCATCAGTGGTGTGACTATAATTTTCTGTAAGTCTTATGTCTCTTTTTCTGTTGGGTTATCTGTTTCTTTCTGTTGGGTTATCTGTTTCTCATTTTTAGAGTTCTGTATGTACTCTGGGCATGAGTCCTTTGTCACATATATATATATGTTTGTCTCTTTCTGTATGTCTCTATACGCACATTGTGGTTGCCTTTTACTTTTGTAATAGTGCTAACAGTCTTGATGATGACAAAAGAACTGGGATTTTTTTTTGAGTCATAGTCTCACTCTGTCTCCCAGACTAGAGTGCAGTGGCACGCTCACGGCCACCCCATCCTTGATCTGCTGGGCTCAGGCCATTATTCTGCCTCACCCTTCCAAGTAGCTGGAACTACAGGTACACACCACCATACCCAACTAATTTTTTGATTTATTGTAGAGACAGGTCTCACCAAGTTGCCCAGGCTGGTTTTGAACCATGGGCTCAGGCAGTCCTCTCGCCTCTGTCTCTCAAAGTGCTGGGATTACAGGCGGGATTTCTTATTTAAAGTTTCATTTCTATCAAAGTTACAGACATATAGTTGAAGAGTGAACTAATTCTACAAACATTCTAACAATAACTCACCCTCTGAACCTATGCCTTTCCTTTTTCTTCTCCCCATGGGCAACTACTGTTAACTCTTTTTTCTTTTTTTGAGTTGAAGTCTCACTCCATCACCCAGGCTGAAGGCCAGTGGTACACTCATGACCACCCCAGCGTCGACCTGCTGGGCTCCGGCGATCCTTCCACCTCAGCCTTCCAAGTAGCCAGAACTATAGGCATGCGCTACCATGCCCAGCTAATTTTTTTATTTATTGAAGAGAAGAGGTCTCACCAAGTTGCGTGGGCTGGTCTAGAACCTGCGGGCTCAGGCAATCCTCTCACCTTGGCCTCCCAAAGTGCTGGGATTACAGGTGGGATTTTTTTTTTTTTTTAAGTTTCATTTCTACCAAAGTTGCAGACACATATAGTTGGAGAGTGAACTAATTCTACAAACATTCTAACAATAACTCACCCTCTGAGCCTATGCCTTCTCCTTTTGCTTCTCCCCATGGGCAACTACTGTTGACTCTTTTAGCTGATTAATTTAATACTTTTTACCTTATTTCTAAATAAAATGCTTGAATTGCTGTTCAGTAATTTTTAGGTTTAGGTGCCATCTGTGATTTCCCTTTATGAGAGAGAAGTTAACTCTTTCCTTCCTGCATCCCTACCACACACACATCCTTTCCATCCTTCATATTCTGAATATGTCATATCATAATTTTACTGTGCATGCTTTATATTATATAAAGTACTGGGATTACAGGCATGAGTCACTGCACCTCAGCCTTATTTATTTTTTTGTGTACTTAGTTTTCTATGTACTTAACAGTAATTGGATCTCAGACTTGCTACCTGTTAATATAAATCTTTTCTCAAAACAATCAGAAGCATCAAATATTCTATTAATCTTTTATTCTTTACTAGCCTCTGTTTTCTAAATAGCTTTATATTATGGGCCCCCACATTAAAGTCTTTCTCAGATGTCTGATAAGCATAAGCTCATAGCCCTCCTCTCCCCCTCCTAAGTAAACAGCCTGCATTTATTAGCAGAGCAGAATTGCCTGTTGAGCTCTCCTGTTCATTTACTACTGACCAATGGAAGGTTTGATTTGTTAGTGATTATAATAGAAGCTGAATATAGTTATTTATGTAATCTTTATCTGTTGGTTTCTATTCTTTTCACCAGAAACACTAACCTAAATATGACCCATAGATATGATTATACTGCAACCCCTAGTAATCTGTTAAGTCCACTTATGTATGTCAAATTATGAATTATTATAATACAATAATGTTTCTTGAAAAATATAAGCTTCAATCTGGAAATGTCTGTGAAAAACAGTTATTGCAGTACTGATCCATGAGGATCTAAAGGTTTCCAAAGGAAGCAGGGAAGTCAAATTTAGTATACTAATTTTTTATATATACACAGTAAGACCCCTACATATGAACCTTCAAGTGCAAAATTGCAAAGATGTGGCTGTGAGTTCATATGTTAGTTCACGTGTCTGGCGTACATTGTCATGTGCTGTACTATAGGATTAAATATATTTTCTTTATCTTTTGTGTTTGTTTTTTAGGTATTTTTGTGTGAAAATTATTATAAACTTATTACAGTACAGTACTATATAGCCGATTGTGTTAGTTGGGTACCTAGGCTAACTTTGTTGGACTTACGAATGCATTCTTGGAATGGAACTGACTCATATGTAGGGGACTACTGTAGCTTTTAAGTATACTTAAAGGTGAAAGAAGGTATTTTAAGTATACTTAAAGGTGAAAGAAGGTATTAAGGTTTCTATTATGAGTCAATTAAGGTGCTTACATGTCTGTTTTCTTCACTACTGAGAGTTTGTATGTACTTAAGAATTTCTGCCAATTTTTTGTACAATACTTTTAAGAAGAAAGCCAGTGCCACAGTATTAAACAGTGACAGGATCCCATGTATCTGAATAGGTTGAAAGTAACTTGTCCAAGGCAGTGCTATCCAACAGAACTTCCTACCATGGTGGAAATATTCTATATCCACTGGCCACCTCTGCCTGTTAGAGACTTAAAATATTGTTAGGGTGACTAGGAAGCTGAAATTTTAATTTCACTTGAATTTTAATAGCCACAGATGGCTAGCAACTGTTGTGTTGAACTGTTTTGATGTTTTCTGAACCATAGTTATAATAGAAAAACAGGAGAAAGAGGAAAGGAAGCACAAGACTTGGAACCAAACTGTTTGGTTTGAATGCCTTAGGGGCTTTGAAAAAACAAAAATAACTTAACAGTCAGCTGGGGTGGCTCATGTCTGTAATTCCAGCACTTTGGGAAGCCAATACAAGAGCATCACTTGAGCCTAGGAGTTCGAGACCAGCCTAGGCAACATAGCAAGATACCATCTCTATCAAAAAAAATTGCTGGGCATGGTAGCACACGCTTATAATCCCAGCCCAGCCAGGAGGTCAAGGCTGCAGTGAGCCATGATTGTGCCACTGCACTCGAGCTTGGGTGACAGAGTGAGACCCCAACTCAAAAAACAAACAAAAAAACTTTACATCAAAATATAGTTTTTTTCCCCTGTTTCAGTACTTTGTGTTAAAAACTTTTAGTGAAAAGCAATATCCAGAGACAGTCTGTTTTTTATCACTATATTTCTAGAAATATTTTAATGTGGATCTCATTTTTCTATGTCAGCACTACTTTAATTAGAATTACATTCCTGAAAAAAGACACACAAAGTGCATAGTATATGTGACTGGCACTGCATCACAAGAAATACAAGCTGTTGATCACTTGAAATAATAGCAAAGCAGTGCCCAGGTTTCATAAAAATAGATCTAAGTGGAACTATATATATATGAGTTCTTCAATGTACTCATATAGTAGAGCACATACAATTTGCTACTGAAATTAATATGCTAGGATCTAGAATAATTTTTGAGAAATTTGTGAGTAACCCAGGTCTTAACAAAAAAGAACAAAAACCACAAAAAGGGGTAGACAGAAGTTTGAAGGAGCTTTATCTCTTTCTAATTTCTCTCCAGCCATCACAGGCATTAAAAATCAAATATCAACAGCCATTCAGATTATTGATCATGGGCCTGCTATCTTGACATTGTGGGCAGACTTGAGAGGGCAGTAATGAATAGGACGGTGACTTTTGCAGTCACAGACTGGGGCAGAGGAATGGATGACACACATACAATCAAAATGCAGTCAGATAAGAGCAAATGGAGGATGGAACAAAAAGAATGGAGAATCAGCTTGAAATTATGAAATGCTTTCAGATAGGAGGTGACATTGACAAGATTTCTGAAGAGCAGTAGTTTGCTCTCTAAAAGAGCATATTACATATCGTATAGTGGAAAGTAGATTACAGTAAACCACAGATTTCATGGTGGTTGTATATTTGTTAATAATTAGAAAAATGATTACCTCTAAAGATATAAATACTAGTCAAAAAGGTAGATGTCTAAGTCTAGTGTGCTGTCACTGACTTTATTTTACTAAATTCCTGTTACTCCAGAGTGCTACATTTTAGAAATTTCCTGAAGCTATTTAAAATTCTCTTAGAGCATTCACTTTGTGTCATTTATAAATCGTGAAATAACTGCATAAAAAGGTGGTAAGAATGGTATTAGAGATCTGGATTAAGTATTAATTAAAGACAATGCCACAATTTGTTTTGGTAGATGATGAGAACTCTGTTTTCATTTATTACCTCAAAAGATTGATTAGGAATCATTTAGTTGTTTACCATCATTTAGAAAGATGGTAATTCTGGTATGCTAAATTAAGTATAATTTCACTATAGTATAACTAGTCTCAAATTTTTTTAAAAATGGGACTTTAAGTCCTATTAACTGTCAATATGTATAATGTTGACTAATAGGATATATTAATCTATAGCTTTGATTTATTTAAATCAAAAATCTTTTCTGAGGTAAGGAATATCTTTGAAATATAATGTGAAGTATTTTTCATTTTTATTTAAGATGCAGAAGATAAGTGTATAATAGAAGGGAACAATTGTACATTTACTCATGACTTGAATAGAATTAAACCTTCAGGAAACACAGAAACACTAGGTAAGTGTTTTTATTTTCTTTATTCCTTTTTGGATTGAAACAGACTTTCTTCTAATTTTCCTTATTTTATTTTCTTTCAGAATTACTACTGAGGGAATTTTTTGAATATTTTGGCAATTTCGCTTTCAATAAAAATTCCATAAATATTCGGCAGGTAAATGTTTTAATATTTGGTTATTAGGTATCTGGTCTTTACTGTACTCATATTTAGTTAATTTGTTCTCAAAGCACTCTAAAGTAATGGGAAGACTGATGCCCAGAGGAGTGACATGACTTGACATGGTCATGTCATCTTATTTGGAAGAGTAAAGGCCAGTATCTGCCTTTGTCATTATTTCATGGTCCTCTGTTATCACCTAGTGCTAATACTGCATCCTTCACAATGTGGAATACATTCTGAAAGTTTTCTGGAAAATATGATTTCACATACAGTTTTTAAAAACTGTTCCTATAGAAGAAATTTGTTACACAGTCCCAAAGATAGAGTTCAGTGATTCTCTCAGTTTGAGCCCTTAGGATTTAATTTATTTAGAGCAAATGAATTTATAAATTTAGTACTTCTGAGGAGCTAGAATTATAGACTTTTTTAAAAAAAGAAAATGAATGAGGGCAGAAACCTAGGCAAAACTTATTCATAAATGGGAGAAGCTTGTGATAGCTCTATGGGCTTATTCTCTTTAGCATTTGGCTACCTACCTAGTTACAATCCTGCATGACTGGCTTCCTAAAACACAGGCCCAGATACTCTTTTTGTTGTTTCTTCAGCTCTCCTTTTTTCATTCTTTCCTTTTATCTAGCTCATGGAGATTTTTATAAAATTTAAGTGTGGGGAACGGAGAGAGAAGGGATACAGAAAGCTCTATATTGTAGTGTGGGAGCAAAAGGTCATCAGACATGCAAAGTTCTTTATCCGTTTTGTGCTCTAGGGCTCAGAAGTGACAGGCAAGGCCCTGCTGAGCAATGGCATAAAAGAAGATAGGGAATTAACAGCTGCTGCTCACCTGGGGAAATCTTGACCACTGGCTTGTGTGTTTAAGTAATACATGTGGTGTCATTTGAAAGAATAAAAGATACATAGATTAGTGGCTTACTGCTCACCTGATTCCTAGTTTTAAGCTTCCTTTGTTGTGAGATACTGTTTTATGTGGCAGAGCCTTACTGTTTGTTGAATCTTTAGGAAAGTGATAGAAACTTCTTCATGTTTTAAATCAGTAATGAATAGTTGTTTGTTCGTTCTCTTCCTTTCTCATTTGATACTTGGGAAACATTAATTACTGTATTTAATTGAAGGTTTCTAGCTGGGCTCGGTGGCTCAGCCTATAATCCCGTACCTTGGGAGGCTGAGGTGAGTGAATTGCCTGAGCCCGCGGGTTCGAGGCCTGCCTGGGCAACTTGGTGAGACCTCATCCTCTACAATAAATCAAAAAATTAGCCGGGTGTGGTAGCGTGTGCCTGTAGTTCCAGCTACTTGGAAGGCTGAGGCGGAAGGATCGCCGGAGCCCAGCAGGTCGAGGCTGCAGTGGCCGGGAGCGGCCACTGCGCTCTAGTCTGGGTGACTGAGTGAGACTCCAACTCAAAAAATAAAAATAAAAAGAAAGCTTCTAACACTATATGTTTCTTTTTCCACTGTAATGGCGTAGTTTTTATCTAAAAAATAAATGCATCTTCATCTTATTTCTTTGCTATCTTTTTTCATTTTTTTTTTCCCTTTTAAACTCTATCTTGTAAGGTAAAAGTTACATTATTTTTTCAAAAATTATTATTGCTTGACTTGGTCTACTCTTATCTCAGCAATGACATCATCATCCACAAATCATATGCCTAAGTTATTTTTCTTCAAAGAATACTCATAAAACTACTACAGGAAAAAAATAAAACAGTCAGAAGTACGTACATATATGCACAGCACACACACATACCCAACTCCCTTAGGAAGGAAATTTTTTACTCTATAAAGTTAATGTATTTTATTGTTAGCCGAACTGTTTTTGTATTAAGCCTTTCATATACTTACCCACTTTTTTCTTCTGTGTAATAATATGTAGGGAAGGGAACAAAACAAGCCTGATTCTTCTCCTCTGCACATTCAGAATCCTTTTGAAACTTCTCTCAACATAAGCAAAAATGTAAGTCAAAGCCAGCTGCAAAAATTTGTAGATTTGGCCAGAGAAAGTGCCTGGATTTTACAACAGGAAGATGTTGATCGACCTTCCCCATCAAGTAATCAGCCCTGGGGTCTGGCAGCCTTCCTGCTACCATCTGTGGTAAACAAGACGTCTCTTGCCAAGAAGAAAGTCAAAAAGCCTGCGAGTGAGAGAATTAAAAACTTGTTAGAATCCATAAAGAGTAACACAACAGAAAACTGCACGAGCACCAATGGGAAAAGAACGATTAGTACTCAGACATGATGGTGGCTATGTTGCTTTAAGAACTGGTTTCATCCTATAAAATGGTCCATGAACTGCCTGGAAGAACTGGTGTGAAACTCTCACAGGTCTAACTTTTCATCTGATGTCATCTGTTATTGGCCCTTTTCATCTGGTCTGAAACGCTATTCTAATTAGTATGAAAGCCAGTGGCACTTTATTAAAATGGCAACCCACCAGGTGTGGTGATACATGCCTGTGTAGTCCCAGTTATTCGGGAGGTTGAGTGGGGAGAATCCCTTGAACCCAGGAGTTCGAATCCAATCTGGGCAAAATAGCAAGATCTCGTCTCTAAAAAAAATAAAAGTTATAAGTCAACCATGAAGAACAGGTGAAAGAAGACTGTAATGCGTTTTAACAAAATAGATATAAAACAAATGGTAAAAATCAGTTTTATAATCAAACCAGTATTGATTGCCACATCAATTTCTGGTTGGAAAACATTGAAATGGACTTCTAGTTATGTATATATGTAGCAATGAATACAATAAACTTAAAATTTGGTAGTACTCCTTAATATGTATTTTTGTATTTTTCAAGCCAAATACTTATATTCACATATAAATCAAAACTGGTTGGTACCAACATCCCAAAATATTTGTTTGTAAAGTATGAATGCAAACACTTCAGTCACTACATTTTAGGTGTTCTAGGTCAAATATACAAAAATAACAATATATTGTACTTTTAAATATTACGTAGTTTTTCTGTTTTTAAAAGTAAAATCCTGTTTCTGTCTAAAATGTGATATACCCAGTATTTCTTCACTTCTCTTTCACTCCCCTGTTCCTGTAGGATATAGACAGTCGTCCCTTGGTATATTTGGGGGATTAGTTACAGGACTGTCCGCGTTATATCCAAATCCATGCATACTCAAGACCCTCAGATAGCCCTGTGGAACCCACATATAGAAGTTGGCCTTCTGTATAAGAGGGTTTCACATCCCAGGAATACTGTATTTTCAATCCAAGTTTGGTTGAAAATTCACATGTAGGTGGATACACACAAAACCATGTTGCTCAAAGGTCAACCATATATTGAAATATAATTTCTATTACTTTGTGTGGAGTAACTTTCAGTTTAAGAAGCAAGTAGTATGATGTTTTAAAAGCAAGTAGTATGATGTTTAAACCAAGTAGTTTAATGTTTAAAAATAGACTTGAGCCAGACTGGCTCCATGGCAAGTGACTCAGTCTCCCTAGGCCCCCATTCTGTAAAATGGAATCATAATCAGATTGTTGGGAAGATTAAGTGAGGGAAGTGCTAGGTCAAGAGCCTGGAACATAGTGTTCTTTCTCATTAGCTGTTACTTTTCATTGTGGTATGTAATTTTTTCCCTTCCTCAAAATTCAGATGTAGAGTTTATAGTGGTTTTAAAATTTTTCTCATTTAAATTTTAGGTCAGAAATTATAATGGGTTCTGCTTGGGATATTTTAAGAGACTCTAATAATATTGTTGTGAAGCAAATTCTGTGTTCTTTTGGCTGTGTTGTTGGATTTCACATCTGACACCACCAAACAAGTATCAGTGTTCTTTTGTTTATGCAGTATCCTTAAACTAAAAACCATTTTTATTTATTCTTTAAGTTTATTTTATAGAGTTAGAGATCTATTTAAAAATTGTAAAAGCAAAACTATTTAAGGGTTTCTAAATGAAATGATTTTTTTCTGCATACAAATATTAGGTCAGGCATTTTCTTTTTTAGGTTTTAAATCTAACATAGTTATTTAAATACAGAAAGTATGTGTAGGTGTGAGCATTTTCTTTTTTTAAATATAATTTATAGGCCAGTCTTGACACTATAGATCTGTTTTACTTTTCACAGTGAGATTTAATTATGTGATGAATTTCAATCTAAAAAAAATTTAATGTACAATTTTAAATTCTAGTTAACTGACTATAGACTACAAATACATTTTCTCATAACTTCAGTGTGTCACATTCTAGTTTTTTAAAACGTAATTTTTATTACATGATAGGGATAGTCAGCAATTATTTGTCATTGCGATTTCTTAGTTAAAACTAATTGCGATAAGGAAAAAATGTTTCCAGGGTTTTCTTCTCTAACTAGCCTTTGGCGTTCATTCAGCAGCTTTCACCTGCTGTGAGTTTTATTCAGAATGTGAAAGTGGTTTTGATATGAGACTACCCAGATCAAACTAATTTCAGTTATACAGCATTCCAGATTTTATAACCCACTGCTATAATTCCTGGAGTTATCACCCATCTTTAGGAAATTAGAGAAGTGACCAGGGACATTCTAGGAAATGAGAATTCCCTGAGACATTCTAGGAAAACTGTAATTATCTCATTCACAGCCCTTCAGTGAACATAAAGGAGAAAATAAGGACAGTGGAAATAAAACTTTGTCCCTGCTGGCATCTACTTCATGCCTGTGCTTTCTTTTGCTCTATGCTGTAGTCAGGTGAGAGCAGAGTTTGATTGTTCCACCTTGTCTAGAATTTCCTTGGCCTTAAAAATATAGCTGTATTCAACTCCTTATAGCCTGCCAGTGCCTTAGTAGGGGAAAGCTATGTTTGCCTTTGTAAATAAGAAAACACTGGTGTCTGCGGCAAAGCCAGAAGAAGGAGCAGGCACGTGTATACAGCTTGTTCAAACAGCAGCTCTCCACTTTCCAGTTTGACATTCAGTTGGTGAGTAGGTGTCATTGTGTCTCAGATCAGTCCCTTCTGGTAAACATGTGGAAGTGGACCATTTAAAATGCTACAGAAAGGAAGAAGCCATTTTGGGCTGAGATGATCAGAAAAGCCTTTATCAGATGGAGTAGAACAGATCTTGAAGGGCTGGTGGGCAGACAGAAGCAGAAGCCTAGGGATCATCATTCCAGGAAGAGATCAACGTGAATAGAGTCAGAGAGAAGCCCGTTTGGACACCTGGGCTCCAGAGTAGCTGGGATTTGGTTCTAACTGACACTCGCGAGATCATGAACAGCCAGTTAGTTGCAAGTTAAAGAGGCTGAATGTATTTTTATTGGTAAACTATTGATGGTTTTTATGCAAAGGAATAAAAGCAAAGTAGTGTTTTTAGATGATTAATCTGTTGCTATTTAGTAGTTTTAGATCACTGTTCCCTTTTTTAAAATAGCAAATTGGAGTTCAATAGGTCCCATTATTAAGTTAGGTAAAATTTGACCATTTAATTTTCCACAAAGTTTCAAAAGTTGACTGACTCGTATTCTTCAGAATAAATTTTCTCCTTTGTATTTAATAAGAAAGGAAAGCTTTAGTTTAAAGCTACCAACAGGAAATAACAGCTCAAGACTTACATTTAATTTTTTGTAAGGCCTTATTAATGACAAATTATTTGCAATATATACTTGGAAAGGAATGAAAACATGACTAGAAATCACTTTCACCCTGGTATGAAGTTGGAAAATTTATTTTAGATACTTGAAAGGCTTATTTTGGTTTCCACACTGAACTCAATTACTTGTGGATACAGCGTCCAAAGAATATAAACATTACAATGTTCCTCTGGAATTCCCATGGAGCAACTCCCAGAAAATGTCTGTTGAAGATAGAATCTTTAATCTACAGTATCTGTGGTACAGGATATGTAAAATCACCACAGATTATTAAGAAATACAGCTCATATTTCAAATGTGATTGCTCAGATTTTATGTTAACTGTGTGTATATCCACCCACCTTTACTCATAAAGTCAAAGCTAGATTAAAGACATTATTCATTTTTTGTCTCCTCTTAGATGAATACATTTTTTTTCTCCCACAGCAAAGTTCCTAAGCTTCTAGAATGTGGTGATGAGGCATATTTTAAAGAGAGGATTAGAAAGATATAACTTGAAGTTGTAAATACTATATTGTGAAGAATACATGGTATGATAAAATACCTAATTTAGAATAGGCCAACTATAAGTTAATGAAAAATAAGATTGTAGGTGGTTATTTTTGTCTGGGTTTATATTGAACTGTGACACATTGAAAACTTACCATAATGGAGGCGATCAAGTAAAATGGAGCAAATTAACAAAAAGATTACTAATTAAATCTTTATTATGTTCTATGTCACCAAAATCTTTTAACATGTTATACTTGTTAGTACAAAGAAAGTCTTACATTTCTGAAGCTTTTCCTACTAGAATGTTACTGGTACTTGGCTTAGAGTAACACAGTTTAATGATTAGATTTCTCATAAACTCTTGATAAGTTTATTACACATGGGCTTGGAGAGTGGAGTGAAATAACATATTGACATTACTGTAGTTCTATGTTGTCTTGAAAACTGACAAGCTGGACGTGTAATTGCAGCTACTGAGGCAGGATCCCTTGAGCCCAGGAGTTTGAGACCAGCCTGTATAACACAGCGAGACCCCATCTCAAAAAAACAAGCAAAATTGACAATGAAAGGTGGATTATGTTTGGCTGGGAAATCAAGCTTTCCAATAATTACATAAAACTTCACTGTAGGAAATCTTGAACATGGGCAAAAGTTAACTGGAAATGTATCATGAACTTACACAAATCCATCTGTTTCAAACAATTCATAACAACTTATCTTTAATTGATAACCTCATTAACTTAACCACTTCTGTGTTATTTTAAGCAGTAGAACAAGCAAAAGTATTTAATGATATCATATTTGATTACTGTTCAAGTTTCTAATTGTCTTATGCGTATCACCATTGTTTTTTCCGGGTGCGCTTTGTTTGAATCAGTGTCCAATTCCTGTGCACATTTTGTGATTGGTTGATCTGTTTCTTAACTCTCTTTGACTCTGGATTTCTGCTTCTTTTTTTTTTCCCTTGAAATTTATTGAAGATATGAGACTATTTATCCTTTGCACTTTCCTATAACATGGATTATGCTGAGTGTGTCAGCACATATGATTATGTGCTGTGGAGTTGTTCAACATTACTTAATGACTTAAGAATATTTTGTATTGATTTTTAGGACATTCTCAACAATATTCTTTTAAAATATTCCTTTGGCTCCATGTACCTTTATTCCTCTAGGATTCTAGTTGCATTTGTTAGAACTTTTTGCTGAATTCCCTATATCTCTTATATACTTTCCTGTATTTTATATGCTTTTGTCTCTCTTTATTCTGGGAATCTACTTTTTTTTTTTTTTCTGAATTGCAGTCTCACTCAGTCACCAAGACTGGAGTGCAGCGGCACACTCATGGCCACCACAGCCTTGACCTTCTGGGCTCAGGTCATCCTTCTGTTTCAACTTGCCAACTAGCTGGAACTACAGGCACGCACCACCACACCTGGCTAATTTTTTTTTAAATCAATTTATTGTAAAGATAAGGTCTCACCAATTTGCCCAGGCTGGTCTCAAACCCGTGGGCTCAGGCAAGCCTCTCATCTCGGCCTCCCAAAGTGCTGGTATTACAGGCTTAAGCCACTGCACCCGGCCTGGGAATCTACTTCTGACTTAATTATAGTTCACCCATTTTTTCATCTGTGTCTAATTTTTAAAACCCCAGATTCTCCATTACATTAGTTTTTTTTTTCAGTTCTAGAATTTCCATT